CCAAAATAGCAGCGGGGCTGCGGGCGAGTGCTGTGACTTTCCATCCTCTGCCCAGCCCGGGGCTGCCTCCCTCTCTTGGGACCTTCTGCTAAAATTAACAGTGCTGCCCTATGCCCTGCGTTGCTCTATCGGCAGCTGCTCTATCGGCAGGGGAGGGGGTGGAAAGCACACTTAAAAAAGTAAAAGCGTTAGATATGGATAATTCCCCTTTAAATGTCTCACTTATGTGGGGAAAAAAAACCTAACAAAACTCATGGAAAAATATCTTTACTTGCAGTATCAACCCTGGGGCGGTCCCTAGGCTCTTTGCTTTATGATGCTGTGACTGCAAATGAACATTAATCATATCAAGAGTCTGCAAAAAGCAATGAGAAAACTACAGAGGAGTGAAATGAGCACTGATGATGCCACACCCCCAGTCTCCTCATTTCACCACTCTTCTTCATCCGCAGGCTTAGAAACAAGGAATGTTATGGAGAATGGCACAGCTCCCCCACCACGATTGTAAATCTGGAATAAGAGTTGGAGGCTTTCTGCCTTCTTCCCCCTGTGGGGGTGAATTTTGAAACCCTCCTCCCTGGGTTGGGTTGCCCATTGTTTTGCAGGGTGATGATGGGTGGTGCTGGTTCCTGCATAGCTTCCCTCTGTCTGAACGTGGCCCTTCCAGTGTTTCTCCCATGGCTCCTGCTGTCCCCAGGCGGTTTGTGGAGGGGGTGGCCCTGGCTGACCCCTATCTGGGGTGCATGGTGCTGTCATCATGCATGGGCCCTTGGTGAGAAGCCTTAAGGAATCAGAGCTGGCCTCCTGGCTTCCTCAGCTTTGTGTTCTGATCATCACTTTGACATATGCCCACCTCAGGGCAGGGTGAGCTTGGAGGGCTGCTCCTGAAACTGGAAAGCTGAAAATCCCCCCCCAGTGGTTGGAAGGCCACAGAGAGGGCTCTGGATGTGCCACATCTCTGCTTTCTTGGCTTCTCCCCTGGCAGAGGAAAAGCTGAATTAAGAAAGCAAACGGAGAGGAAACTGGGGAGGAATAACGGCGGCACTGTGTGCTGAGGACAGCTCTGGACTCAGTCCTGTACTGGTTGCCCTGGAAATTGGATGTTTCCCACTGAGCTGCCCACTTTGCTGGCTGCTGCTTGGAGGGGAGCAACGTCCAGAACCACCAGGGAGGAAAAAACAAAGGGGGATATGGGTGCAAATGATGGTATCAGGGCTTTCTCTATTAAGGGAGACCCCAAGCTCTTTTCCCTATGCCTTTTTGGAGACAGTCTAAAGAAGTAGACCCCACCAGCTCAGCAAACACACAAAGCGAGGCAAAATCCAAGCACTTCGGGGGCTGGCTGTGGGTCTGCAGCCCTGCAGTGGGGCTCATCCACAGAACCTGGGAGCCAGCGTGGTGCTCAGCACAGAAACAACAGATCCAGGAACACAGCATCCCTAGGAAGGAGCAGTGGACCGATGCTTCAATCCAACCAGGCAGGAAAAGGCTCCCTGCAATCAGTGCCCAGCACCACCTCAATGGGCACTGCAGTGAGTGCCCCCTGCAGCACCCTGTCCCATGCAGCCTTCTGATGCCAGCACTGCACTATCATTATTATTATTTAAAGTAATGCATGAAAGATTAAGCCAGCAGTCCCTGTTATGATTGCTGGGCATTGTGCTCCATGCTGACACTGGTTTCTGTGGGCCAAGCTCCATCCGTGGCCAAGCAGCAGCTTCAGAGGGGGGATTTAGCTCAGCTGAGTGCATTCGGACATAGTGGATTCCTGCCGCATTCAAGCATCTCCTTTTACTCACCAGGGAACGGGCTGAGTTTGTTGTTTCAACATTTTCTCATCCATCTGTTGGAAATGGGTGAACTGATCCCTGATGGGCTGAGAGATGGCCCTGTCCTGGGAATTCCCTAACAGCTGCGTTCCGTGGGAAACTCGGACACACTGCAGCATCTCAACACAGTTCTACTGGTCTGGACCACTGAGGACAAAGCTGGGCAGCAGCCAGCAGCCCTTTGGGAGGAGTTGGGAGGGTACAACAGCAGGGCAGGATGGCAAACTGGGGACCTTGCATCGTGCCCCATGCACTGCCTCCCTACCTGTTCCCTACCACTGCCCCCAGTGCCACCACCTGCAACAGCTGCAGGGCTTGGAAACTCCACTTGCCCAGTGCCTGATAAATTATACCTTAGTCCTAAAGGAGCTCGGGCTTTTTTTTTTTTTTTTTTTTTCCAAACACATGCAGCACAAAAGCTGCCTTTCTCCCTCTCATTTGACTTTGTTTTCTCTCCCTCCTCATCTACTTTCAGCCAAATGGGTGAATAGCTTCAGTATATACTGTGGGAGGATAAAGCCAAGGCTGGAGCAGTGGGAAGGATGCAGAACAGCAGTGCCCTGTGCCCACTGCCTTCCGGAGGGGTGGGCACTGTTTGTCACCCTCGCTCTGTAACCCAGCCTCCATCGCCTTGCTGAACCCTTTAAGACAGCAGCACTGAAAGAAAATATTTGTGCTCTGGCTAGCACATGTGCACGCTTCCTGCTCTTGAAATCCCTAATTAAGCTTGTTTTTTTTAATTTTTTTTTTATTTTTGTTTAGAAAATCTCTCCCTTTCGGGACAGGGATGTTTTTTTTCCAAGCCATCAGGGATCACCATGTGCAGAAACTGAGGGGAATCTCCCATCCCTTGCCTGCTTTCTGCAGCCTGTGGGGTTATTTTGGAGATTCTCTCATTTACTGGGTGGTTCAGCTGAGTCCAACCTCTCCTTGGGCTAAAATCATATCCTGTCAGTCAGCTGGTAATTAGAAAGCATCAAAAAGCCAGTGGTGCTTAAGGCAGTGCCGAGGTAACCAAGGCAGCTTCTACTTCTGTGGATAAAGGACTGAGTTTGGAAGCTGTAGATGTTTCCACTGAAATCAGATTTTGGTTTAAAAAGGGGAAGGATGATAACATGGGGTGAAAAATGCCTCCCAGGAGCATAGCAGCACATTAGCACTGCTGCAGCCCATCTATCTGGGCTCACCCAGCCCTTATTGGTGCTGCGGTTAGATGCGGCCCTGCGTACCTGAGCAAGGTGACACAGAGTGTTATCACCCATCTCTGGCTGCACGCTCGTGGCCTTGGAGATGCACACTGCACTCCCTGGAGGCAGGACACCAGCAGGTAATTTTTCTGGAGATTCCTTATCTTATCCCAATGAGACAAAGGAAGGCAGAGAGCATTCTGTAGGCTGCCCGGTCTGGCTGAAATGCTCTGTTCCCTGATAAGCTTGCAGGGTTGATGAGGGAACACAGGAGATGCTATCCTGCTGGGCTGTGTTGGAGAAAACAAGCAGCAGCTTGGGCTCATCCACCAGCCCTGGTCTAATAGGAATCACTGTTGTTTGGTGTTCTCTCTGATGTGCCTGTTAGGAACAGGGTCAGTGCAGCAGAGACAGCAAACACCATAAGCCACACACACACAGAGTCTCCATAGGAAAGCAAGGACACCCTCGGGGAGGTCTGGGAGGCTGCAGTTCTGCAGACGGATGCTGAAACTTCAGGCATCTGGAGGAGCCTCCCAGCTGGTGGAGGGCAGAAACCTCTGCTTGTCTGTCTCAGTGATAAGCAGGCTTCAAGCAAAACAGCCAGTTCAGCAGCAGGGAGGATAAGCCAGGGGAGTAGGGACAGCATAAACTGCAGCCAAGGACGAGCAGCCTGGTTCCCAGATTGGGAGTTACTCCCCTGTGTGCACGACAAGGACAGCTGGCTCCAGGCACAGCAGTGCCACAGTGGGCCACTCAGCACACTGCTAATGGCATGCACCCTGTCCCTTCACATGGCCATCAGAGCAGAGCTGCTGGGCATGCCAGTAATGGGCTGGCTGTGTCTGGGAGGAAGCTGAAAGCAAATATTAGCTAATATTGGCAAGAATACCAGCTGAGAAAATGCAAGAAAAGGATGCAGCGATGTTACTTTTATCACTGAGCTTCTCTTATATTAAAAAGTAATTAAAAGGGTCTGCAATGTGTTCCTTGAAATGTCTGCAGCCCCTGGAAGTGCATCTGCAGCAGTTAGTTGTGCTTCAGATTGATGGTCAAGATGAACTTGAGGTACTGAAGCTCTCCAGGAAAAGATCAAGTTGCAACAGTGTCAAATGTAACCTCGATGTACAAGTGTGAAATATCTCCTAAATATAAAGTGACCACTTCCTTCCAGCTTCCGCTGGTTTTCCTGTCTGCAGATGAAGCCACACGTAACTGGTAGACATAGAAGACATCCTCTGAGTGAAACAACAGTGGACAATCCCATCAGTGGGCTGAGAGACGTGAACTAAATGGACAGAAGCTGGACCAAGCAACAGTGTAGCCCATAAGAGAGAGTCCCACATCCCCCTGCTTCCTCCATCCCTTCTGCACTCCTCATCAGCATGGGAATTCTCCTACCATGTCGGTCACACCTGGGAATCTTGCCCAGCTGTTAACCTGTTTGGTAAGTAGGCATGGAAAGAGGCAAGAAGGTGAAGGGATTCATCCAGGTGTGCTGAACTGGACTCAGGATCCAGAATGATTCTTCACATTCCTATGGTAATGTATTGACCTGATAAGCACTGCACTAGTGCTGACTCTGTGTTCCTGCTCCTACCTGCAATGTGGTTGGCCTATCAGCTAAATCGTGTTGCTGGGGTCCACTGATTTCTGCCTAGTGATCTCCTGCAGCCCAAAAGCACGCTTGGTTTTCCCTGACCTGTTGTAACACTCACTCTGCAAAAATTCCTTCTTCCCATTCTGAATGGAAAGTTAGTGTGTTCTGTGGAGGAAGCAAACATCCGCCACAGATTCCCTGAATCTAAGTGACCTTCAGCTGAGTTTTCCTGAGGCATGTCTCTCAGGCAGAGGTTGCAGTCAGCTTCTAAAGATAGGTGCAATTTCCTCAGACCTGCCTTGCACGTGATGGGTAGTTTCCCATCCTTAAAAGCCACTTGTACAGAAAACCACATAAAGACACACGAGACACACAGACACATGCTGAAAGATAGAAGCAGCACCTCGATTTACTGTGGGACTAGAAACAGCATATAACCTCCTTCTCTAGATTTGTCCACTTTTAAAGCCCAAATGCAGCTGTATCCTCCTGCCAGCTCTCTCCTTTCCAACATCTGGCAGGGTAGCAAAGGTCAAATGGCAGAGCAAGGTGGGAGATAAGCAAACAGCTTAAGCCATCTTATTTGCTGGTCAGGTTTTGAGTTCCTGCAATAAATAAACAAACAAACAAACAAACAAATAAGTGGGAGGAAAAAAACCAAAGGCATAGAGGAGATAAAGCTATGCAAAGATGCCCTCTGCTGGCCACAAGTCAAAAGGAAAAGGTGATGGTTAATCTTTATAGATATTTCAGATGTAGTTCATAGGTTCTCCTGCGAATCGATAATGGCTCCTGCAGTCAGTACTGTGAGCTGGAAACTGTTTGAGGCACCAATCAACTCAGAGTGTGCTCCCCTCTCTCTCTTTTAAATAGCAATGTTATTTGATTAAAGTTAGGATTTAAACATAACTTCTTAGAAGTATTGTAAGCATGCTCATATGATACAAATTGCAGATTTTTTCATCTGTTAAATCAGTCTACTGAACAGTGCAGATATACTGCATGCACATATTACTATCAGCTCAACTTTTTCTTATATCATTTTAAGTCCTGCTGGCTTAAACCTCTCCTTTAATTTACTAACTGGGAATTAAATCAGCGTGAACTGATTTTGGTGCACCTCTGCTGGATAATTGTGAAGATCAAGCTAGACCATTTTAAAACAAACTAGGCCATTTTAAAACAATGCTACTGCATTAGAAAGCTCCAGTACAGAGCCAAGCCTTTAAAAGATGCTGCATAATTATCAAGGACACTAAAGAACAGCACATACAGTGAGTGGGCAACCCTCTCCTCTCACTTCATTCTCTTTCACTGAAATTAAATCCTGTCCACAAAAACCTTTCACAGTAAGGAGGGTGCATGTCAGCATCATGCTGGGGCTCCAGGAAAATCCACAGGCTGAAAGAATTGGGTTGTCTTTAAGATAGATGTCCAACTGGCCAGGGGCTGAAAGAGTTGAGAGCTAATCTGGAAACCAACATTTCATGCTGGTAAGAGCAGCAGGGTGCTGTTCCTTTCTACCCTTGGAGGATGTGTAACTGCAGTAACAACATGATCAAAAGCTGGAGGTTCCTTTGCTAACAAACAACCCCCTGCAGTACCAACTCACAGGTGTCTTTCTGTCTCATCACCGTCCCCAGCATTTTTGGTCACCCTCCCTGGCCATTTCACCAATGTCCTTGGGGTTTGTTTTCATTCATGATATACTCTGGCAAACTCTAGGTTCACCTGGTAATTGCACAGAGGCTGTGTTCTACCTCTCCATGCAATTAGACCATACAAGTATCAGTCAAAACCTCTCAAATTATCAAATGCCATAGTTCTTCTTTGGCTGCAGATACTACAGCCATAGCTGGGATCCTATGGGCTTTGCAGAGCAGCTAAGGAGTCCTATATGGAAATGGTACTGGCTGCATGTGCTCCCACTGCCTCTCCAATATGAGGGGATTGCTAAAGCTAGACCTACAAGTCTCTCCTCCTTTGTGCTTCCCAGGAAACAGGCTGGTTTACTGAGAGCTGGAACAAGCTCAGATCTCTTCAGTGTTTCGTACACCTAATGTATACCTAGCCTCCTCACAGCAGGCTACTGCACAGACTTCTCCCCCAGGTAGGATGCGCTCTTTCCAGTCTTCTTTAGAGTTTCCAATAGGGTGTCAACATTATGCTCTGACTCAATGTACACCTTCTTGTTAGGCAGGTCAATATCAAACTGGACACCTGGAAGGAAAGGAAAAACATTTTGCTTAGTTAGTAGCAACCAAATGGTATGAGAGCAGGGAAAAGCTCACTTTCATGCATTTGTGCTCCCACGGCCACCACGTCAATCTTACATGCCTCTTGTCAGCAAACTTCTATTCTGTGACCAGCCAGCACAACCAGAGCAGGATCCCACCAGCACTGGTACGAAGGAAGCCAGATTGCCTATAGGTGTGCATTAGACACCATAGCTTTATTAGGGGGGTTTTATTAGACTAGCACAATCACAAGCATTAACGAGAATAAGTAGAGTTTAAACCAACCACTGTAATCTCCAGACAGCTCACTCTGTACTAAGATTTGGAATGGATGGACAGTAATGAAGGAGATGGTATAGAAGTTAAGATGGGGTCAGGGCAGGTTTTATCAGTGGCAGTAACAGCTAGCAGCTGGAAGCAAAAGGAAGACAAAGACACCTTCCATGTGGGTATCCCACTGGTAAATAAAGGTCAGCCACTCTCAAACCAGTGAGGACTCAAAGCTTCTACCCAACCACAAAATGTCACAAAACTTGTAGGTATGTAATAGCTTTGGCAGCTCTGCTGCTCCACCTGTGAGGCTGAATTTGGCCAGCATGTCAAAGAGTGATGGGAGAACAGAGGTGCTGAAAACCACACACAGAGGAACAGGAATCACCACAGCCTGGCAATGGGGTCCTGAAGAATTCTCACAGCCTTCAGCTTGGTGATTGAGAGCTGTTCCCACTCAGTGAGGATGGATAAACAGGATGACAAGTCCTCATAACTGGTGAGTGCAGGCCAGATCCTGCTCTCCCGCTGATCTCAGCACAGAGGAGACACAAGTTATAATTTTCCAGGTTGTACAAAAAGCAGGCTGTGCAAGCAGCCACCAAACCCTCAGCTCAGCAGCTCTTCACCATGACTATTGTGCATTTGGATGCCGATGACACATCCAGGGAAGCAGCACAGCTACCAGCAGCCTCCTAAGGAATGGCACCTGGCAGGAGATCCACCTCCTCTTCTTCTGCCCAGCCATCCTGAGCAGGGGGGTGCAGCTCCTGGCAGCTTTGGGATGAAGTCCTGGTGGTGCACAGAGCCACTTGATGCTTGAAGCCTCCTGCATCCCCAGCACCTCCTCCTTCTCATGCTATTTCTCCAAGGGTCACACCAGCCCTGCTAGCAATCAGCTCCCAGCAGCTCAAAAGCAGAGCGACTTGGTGCAGAGTTTTCCATCCGGACACTTCCAGCTGTTACCCACACTGCTTTCTGCTCAAAACGGAGGACCATGAGGCAGTGATGTCTGGCCCCAGGGTCGTCACACACCCTGTAACTTGACTCACCTCCCAGTCTGTGCAGGACACGGGTGACTGCATTGGAGCAGCCTTCACAGGTCATGTCCACGAAGAATTCGTGTCTCTGCAAAAAGACAGGCGAGGGGTCAGGAGCATTCACCACCATCCTCCACGCTCTCCTTTGGCCTCAGGGAGGACAGCTCCAACCTTCCTCAGTCAAAATGTCCAAACGTGCCAAGATGGGTTCCTCAGCAAAACTGAGAGCTCTCAGTACTTCTCCCTATGGTGTCCTCGTGATGTCCCTCACAGAACAACCACAAGGGACCTCTAGAGACCGCCTGGTCCAACCGTGCACTGGAAGCAGGACACCTCCAAGGCCAGCACAGCTCTCTGGGGGTTCTGCTGGACCCACGTACCATGCACAGCCCAGGAGGAGCAAGTCCCCTGCTCTGCTCTGCAATGCCCACCTTATTCTTCTTATTCTTCTGCCTCTGGGCCCCAACATCACAAACCCATAAAAACATCACAAAAATAAGTTTGAGGACTGCTCCCCAGCACTACCTGCAGTACTTATGAGTGGCACCGGACAATGAATATGTGCATGGCCCTAACACTGACCACTGCTCTCAGCCTTCAGTACCATACAGACACTCATCTGCTTTACTTTCTACTTTCCTTACTTTTTCTTTCTACTTTTTCTTACTTTTACCTACTATCATTTTTTAAAGTTCTTTACTATAAGAGTGGTGAGGTGCTGGAACAGCTGCCCAGAGAGGTTGTGGATGTTCCTGGAGGTGTTCAAGGCCAGGTTGGATGGGGCCCTGGGCAGCCTGGTCTAGCATTAACTGAGAAGGTTGGTGACCCTGCATGTGGCAGGGGGGTTGGAGATTCATGATCCCCGAGGTCCCTTCCAACCCCGGGCCATTCTGCGATTGTGATTCTTTACCTGATTTCCTTAAAAAAGAAAAGCAAGACTGCTGTTTCCTACCTGCAACCCCTCCATCTTTTTACTCCAAACCAAGCCTTTCGCCTCCCACCATCTTCACAACACCGATCAGTCCGGAACTGAGCAGAACCACAGCGTTCAGCATCACCATTTATGACCGTTTTCAATCAGAACTGGCATTTCCTTGATGTTTTGACAAGCGAGCTGGAAGGACGGACCCTGCAGTTCCCAGGCTGTACAGACCGGAGCTCGCCACGCTGGCTGCAGCACCCGGCCCTTCGCCCCCCCTCACCCCCCCACCCCCCTCCCGCCCCACGCCGCCCCGCACCCGCCCGCCCGGCCCGCACCCACCGGCATGGCGCGGCGCGGCTCCCGGCTCCCGGCTCGGAGGAAGGGGCGGGCGCTGAGCTCAGCTCCGCACAGCGCCCCCGAGGCCCGGGGAGGCTCCGCCGGATACGCGTTGCCCGTGTCTGCAGCGGGAGCTTCGGAGCTTTCGGCTTCGGCTCGCACGTTTGCTGCGGGTGTTTGTTTGGACGTATTCTTAAGCGGTTTTAATGTCCCTTTTAGGGACAGTGTGAGGTTTAGGAGAGTTGGTTTTGTTCTGAGAACCGCACCTTGGTTATGTTTCTCTCTTCGTATTTTTCTGATCTGTGCGTTGGAGTTGTTGAGGCTGAGCAGCGGCTCTCCGGGTTACAGCGAAGCAGAATTTCAGCTGAAAGCCCTCGCTCTGCTCACCTAAGGTGAAAGCAAGGCTGATGAGAGGCCAAGAGGCTTAGAGGAAGTGGTTTTGAGATGTACTGTAGGGCTATGGACAACAGAGGAATCAGGGGTCATCTCTACTGAATGAGAGGATGCTGGTCCCTGAGGATGGTTCTGCTTTGTTTGGCTTCTCCCTGGTTGTTTGGTCCTTGGAAGGAGGATGGGCTCCTTTCACAGAATCACAGAATCACAGAATGGCCAGGGTTGGAAAGAACCTCAAGGATCCTGAATCTCCAACCCCCCTGCCACATGCAGGACCACCAACCTCCCATTTAATGCTAGACCAGGCTGCCCATCCAATCTGGCCCTGAACACTTTCAGCGACGGGGCATCCAGCTCTCTGGGCAGCTGGGCACCCCACCACTCTCTTTGTAAAGAACTTCCCCCTGACATCCAACCTTAAATCTTCCCTCCCTCAACGTAAAACCTACCTTTATCTACCCTTTCAAAGAGTTGATTCCCTTCCTGTTTGTAGGCTCCCTTTAGGTACTGAAAGGCTGCAATGAGGTCACCCCACAGCCTTCTTTTCTCCAGACTGAACAAGCCCTTTCCTACACACTGCAGCAAGGTGGAGGAGCTGGGGCAGAGCCCAGCATCTCAGGTGCAGTGGGGAATGAGACAGGCTGAGGAGCACCGTGTGGGTGTGAGATTTCCTGAGCAGTTCTGGGCTTCACAGTCCTGCTCAGGAGCTGAACCTGTAGCTGGAAGGATAAGGGGAATGCATCTGGTTATTTGCACACACACTGAGTAGGGCTGCATCCTGGGGTTTCAGCAGGCTTTGGCTGACCCCCATATACTGAGTTTATACCCTCCAGACTGAGCCCTGCTGGGAAACCGAGCAGAAGGGGCCGTGGATGCCTTTTCCAGCACGCTTGCAGGCGGGCATTCATTTTGACGTGCACAGGACCTGGTTGTTGTGCTGCTTTATCAAAACACAAGCTCCCAGCAGCAGCAGCAGCAGTTATTTTGGCTGTTGCTGTGGGTCATCGGTCTGACGTTGAGCTCCGCAGCAGCGCGCTGTGATTTATGCGCTGGCAGATTGCAGTGCAGCTCTATAAATAGCGGCGGTGGGGGAGAAGGATATTAAGGCAGAGCACAGCCCAGCACCGGGCACACGGGGAGGGGTTCGGGCAGCAGGCACGGATGTGGTGGTGGGGAGGAAGTCAGTTTGAGAGGGTCAAATATATCTCAGAGTGCTTCACATCATAGATGTGATGGGATGTGATACAAACACAGCGGGCTTGCTCAGCCATCTGCCTGCTTCTCCTCTGTCCTGCTCTCCTCAGGGTCTGAGGATCTGCACAAGGGCCGGATGAAGCCCTAGTGAGGCCCAGCGGTTCTGTATGGAGCTCGCAGCCTGCTCGAAGCGATGGCCCAGGCCTGTTCTCCAGCAGGGGGTGGTGCGAGGCATCCAGTGCCGTCCCTCGTGCGGGCTGACGGTCCCTTTAAGGATGCCGGAGTCTGCCTGTCCGTCAGAGCCCGCCGCGCTCTCTCATTGGTCGCTGCGCCCCGTGCCGCATGGGGGTTCCGCCCCTATCTATAACGGGGTTTACCAGCACCTTCTCAAGGGCGCTGCCGTGCGCCTCAACCACACTACCGCGTCACGCTTGACCCGCCTTTCGCGCCTGTTCGAGCGGGAAGCGTCGTCCTATTGGCTACGAGGAAAATCCATCAGGTCTCGCCCCGCCTTAGCAAGGAGAGCTTCGCCGCCCATTGGTTCGGATCGGTGTCAGTCAATCTCCCTGCTCCGCGGAGCCAGGCCTCGTGGTTGATGGAGTGAGCTGCCATTCAGTAATCGGCCCGCCTCCTTTCCCCTCTCTGAACCAACCGACGTCCGAGTGAGGGAGAGCGGCGCTCTCCGATTGGTGGAGCCGCCTCCCGCCGGGTTAGGCTGCGCGCCGGATATATCTAGCCGGCGGCAGAGCACGCCGTTGCGTGAGGTGCTTCTCGTCCGCCGGGCAGGCCTGTGGTCAAGCGACGCCTCCCGCTCCCGTCCCGCTCCGCCCGCAGGTGAGGGGGGGGCCGGGGGTGGGCGGGAGGGAGCCGGCGGCGGGGCCACGGCCCGCGGGGACGGCTGAGGGCCGCGTGCGGCGGGGCGATCCCCTTTCCCTCCCCCACCTCCACGTTGCCCCCCCCCCCAACCCCCGGGTAGGCCGTGGCCCGGAGGGGTCGACGGGGACGGGGATGGGGACGGCGCTGCGGCCGCGGCTCTTGCCCCGCGGTGCGGCCCGCCCGGCCCCGGCGCGGCTTTGTGGGCAGCACGGCGGGGCGGGCAGCGCCTCGGGGCCGTGCGAGGAGGGCGCGGGGCTGCCGGGCGCCGTTGGGCTGTGAGGTTACCGGCCGTGGGGGGAGGAGCGGGCCGGCGCGATGCGGGGCTGCGAGCTTTGTTCTCGGCTCCGCGCGCCGCGTCCTTTCCTTTCTTTCTTTCCTTTCTTTTTCTTTCCCATCCCGTGCTTTTTATCCCTTGGCGGGTTTGTTTTTGCTGCGAGGTAACGCGGCGCTGGGCTGGAAGGGCTCAGCGCTCCCTCCGGCCGCCAGCAGCTCGGTGCCACACGCGTGGTTTCGGGGCCGTGCCCGGCGCTGGATGCGGGGTTGCGGCGCAGCCCCGCTGCCCGTGTGACCTTGGCTGGGCCGGGATCGAGCCAAGATTCAAAGCGGGGCTGCTGAGAAGGCCGGTCAGCCTCCTGCGAGGCCCGAAATGCTCTTGGTTGAGCGGGGGAACAACGGCGGAAAGGTTTGGGTACCGTCCACGTGCGCTTCGCTCTTGATCTGCGCGACCTTACGAGTTGCCAGTTTTGACGGGGATACCTGATGGCTTCTTTTGTTATGGCTTTCGTATGCGTAGTGAGCATTCATTGCAAAAACAATGACTTGTTTTTGTTTGTTTTTTTTCTTCCCCCCCCGCACCCCCCCCACGATTGGCTGAAAGCAGCTTTTGCAGCAAGCCGCCATGTTTCCAGGCATGCTATTTTTGTCCAGCCTGTGTTTCACGGGATGAAGTGACAGCTTTAAGAAACCTGGACGGTGCTGTCGAGCTCTGGAAGCTCACGCTTTCAGGTGCCCTGAATTGAATGATATGTGTTGGGTTGTTTTCAGCCAACGAGGCTCTGTGGACGGGCGTTAAGAAGAGGAGGGAGTGCCAAAGCTGGTAGACAAAAACTGCACTTGACTTTGTTTCTAAAGTCTTCCTTTCGGCCTGGTTTTCACTTTTTAGTAATAACTTCCTTTTCTGTAAAGAGGAAGCCTAACCACTTTGCTAAAAGATAATTCCATGATCATTCAGTGGTGCTGTTATAAGCATGTGTGCATCCCGTGAGCTGGGCTCACCTCTTCCAGAGGTGTTTGAGTCAATCTATTCAGTGAAGTTAAGTCTTCGTTCACTGTATTTACTTCAGTCAATATATTTAGAGAAGTTCAGTATCTCATTTCTGAGATTTAAAAAAAAAAAAAGTTAGACCTCATAGCAAAATAGAAGGTTTACATCTTAGCATTTATGTGATTAGGGGTCTTGTATTCCAGAAGTCACAGAATGCCTTTGTGATAAAAATCTCTAGCTTTTTTATAGTAATGCCTATTCTAGGGTGTTCTAGTTTGCCTGAAAGACAGCATTGAAACACACTGGGAAGTGGGATCCTGCAGTCTTAGAAAAGGATTCACATCCACTTTAGGGTTTTAGCAAAATGTATCTCTCTTTTTTTTTTAAGTAAATAATCTTTGAAAAAGAATCTTGTATACATCAAATCTGGCTGTGAACAATGGCTGCTATTTCTCGAGTTGTTGGAAATGGAAGACTGCTTTTTTTAACGTGTTTTCTGAGTGTGAATATGTTTGGTTAAAGCTAGAGAACACAGTTGAAGGAGAAGACCTGGCAGGAATCTCTTTGCTTAAGTCCTGATTTCTGAGTATTCATCTATAGCCTTCTGAGAATGTATTGCAGAAGTTTGAGTTCAGTATCACAGTTTACGCTTTAGAGTTACAATTAGTTCAGAAAGAGCCAAATTATGCTAATATTTCTTGATAGGGTTATCACTCACTTCCTGTAGTGGCTGAAGGTGCAGCTGAAAGCTGGTTCAGGATCATAGAATGATTCTGATCATAAAACAAAACAAAAAAAAAAAAAACAAAAAAAACCCAGTAGTTTCCTTTTTCTCCTTGCAAATGGTTGTAACAGTGTATACTAAGGAGCATGCTTTAATGAAAATGTAATAAAGAAAACAACAAAAAAAAATGTAACAAAGAAAACAAAAATGGTGTTACTGTATGTATTGATAGTTCTGTTTGTAACTTTTGAGAGAGCATTCATGAGATTAACATAAATGGCCTGCTGGAAAACAAAACTTGAATTGTTGTGGTTTTATATTAAACCTGAGCTTTTTTGGTCCATCCAAGCAATGTGATGAAAAAATCAAAGAGGAAATCAAAGTAGAGCAGGGCTTTGGGTAGTCCTTGTTGTTAGCTGTAATGTGCTGTGCTTGAAATAAACCAAATGGGGGAAGTGATAGGATCCACTCATCTAGGCAAAACTTTCTA